GGTACGAACGCTTAGAATTTCGCCAGTTTTTCTTCTCGGCCTCCTGAAAAGTCTTGTCATGCATTTCTCAGTTCGTTTTCGATTGTCCCGCCAATGACGCGCGACAAGTCCGTGAGATATTACGGGCCACAATGCCCGGTTCTCGGAATACCAACGTGAAGTCCTAACTCCTTAGAGTACAACTTATCCTTTTGAGCATGAGTGACCATGAGAGTCTTCATCCATAGAAGCTCCGATCTCGGGACGAATGCTTCAAAATAATTCCCGATCGCCGCCTCCCTGCCGAAACACCAAACGACATACGACTGCCGTCCTCAAGCGGGTGAGCGGCACAATGCTCCGCTATCTAAACGAAAAAGAATGATGACTGAGACTGAGCATCCACTTTTCTCGATATCCTCGATGGAGTGAAACACGAGGTACCAGTCCATAACTCGGGTGGAACTCCCGCCTCACCTAGTTCGGCGAGTGGTGACCGAGGCATCGGCTCATTGGCCGGTCTTGACTACTCCGCGGGAAAAGAACGCTCCATATGAGATCTACCCAGAAAGTTCAAAAAGATGCGGAATGCGCTCCAAGCTCCAGCCTGGGCGATAGCGGCTGATGTCGAGCGGAAATGCTGCAGTGGAAGGGAAGACACACGAATTATTCAGAATATCCTGTTTTCATCCTGGAAAAGCCTGTGTAGTGCAGGAGTTCGCGTCCCTCCCCCCCTCCTCTCCCAATCGTGCGAGTAGCTAGAGCTGCTAGCTTGACAGGAAAAGTTGTCTCGAGCTACAGGCTGGTGGGGGAAACCGAAAGTGTCAAAGCTTCGGGCTCTCCCTTGAATCTCAATGTGAACATCTAAAATGACGTTGAGGCATCAGCTCAACATGTCTGAGTTCCGCAACCTTTTTGAAGTTCTTTTTCACCCTCAGCGAGCACACGGTGTCAATCAGGAGTTTCCCCGGGTTTTCGCACAGGTGAGCTGCCGAGAGCGCGATCCAGCTCCCGAACTCGCCGAGCGAGACCTACGAAAGAGAACCACCTATAGAAATATCCCCACAGGCCGACAGTCGGAACGGTGGGCCTCGAAATGTGAATCTGCAAGTCACAATTTGTGGAACGATTTGTTCCTCGTTCTTGCCTCTCCCGTGCGTTCGAAACAAGCACCTTTTCGGATAACGGCTACATCAAGTGGAGAATGACGTGACCGACGAATGAGTTTGAAGGCTGGTAGAGGAGCAGACAGAAAGAATCGCAGGAGAAGCTAATCCCCGCTTTCTCCATGCAACCTCGGCGAGCGCTGACGTTGCCAAGTTCCTTTCTTGGTGACGAGCATCGACGCTCATCGGTCCCCGATCCTACACACGGATTTCCTGGAATAATCAGGTGACTTCCTCTCGAAATCCGACTCCCGATACAATGCAGAAAATCTCCTCAAAGTTCTGTATGCTCCGTCTGGGAACCGTCGACCTTGCTTTCGCACGAACGGGCGTGTCTGAGAGCGGATGTCGTCTTCTGCCGCGGTAGACATTTGGGAGCGATGTAATACGCACGGTCATCATACGCACTCGCTTACGTATACACGGGGCCAAGGAAGCGTCTGTCCGGAGAAGGCGACTGGAGCAACGACGAGACGAGGCTGTGAGTACAACGGATGGTCGGCGTGGTGAGGATTTGTCCTCGCCGGTAATCTATCTAGGCAAAGGCGTGCGGATTCTGGTCGCAGATGGTTCTTCCAGCCATTCGGCTCCCCGAGACCCTGTTCCCCTCGGGCGCTTGTGATTCCTTCTGGGGTTGGAAGACTGCGGGCACGGAGTACGGCTGGCGGAAGCGGAATGAGTAAAATATTTCGGTAGGGAACAAGCTCGACAGTCGAGTCCAATAATTTCTCACGCGCAACTTTCGAAGAGTGCCCATCGTGGAAGCCCGCGATGGAGGAATGAAAGTCGAACAGAGTGGAAATAATCGAGAGCGAAGAAGCCAGCGGAGTGTTGGTCCTCGGCTGGGAAACGTTCCAAACGAATCACAAAAGAGAAACAAGTCAATATGTGTTCCGATTCCGTTCATTGAGCAGCGACGGCTCCGCTGCTGCCGACGTCGTTCGAAGCAGCAACAGCGACGCGATTCCAGGAGCTATTAGTCTATTGGGGAAGCATTGGGAGCCCTGCGAACCCGGACCGTGATCCAGTCACTCAGTCAGACCGTCAACCAACAAGCCAGCCAGCCAGTGGAGGTCATGAGAACCAAACGAGCGAATGGGTAAACGAAGCCCACGCGCTATCGAGACTACATACAACGTCAACCCGGTTGCCGGATGAGCCAGCCAGCCAGTGAGTCAAGTGGTCTCCCAATGAAATGTCCTCCCTTTCAGGAGTCGTAGCTTGAATTGAAGAGTGGAGGTAGAAAGCTGCTTCCAGTTCTCCTTCTTGTGACCGACAGCGGAACGTTCGAAAGTTCTCTTGAGTTAGCTTTTGCAGTAGTAGCACTCCGATCAATTGAAGTCGAATCTCAAACAGGAAAAAGGGAAATCGATTCGAGTAAGTAGGAGTAGTCTGCTAAGGGAAAACGGGAGCGTCATTGGCTCAACAGACTCGGGGAACGCACTCAACTGAATCAATGGCAGAATAAAAGGAATGATGAATAGATTGATTCCGGTCGCACGGGGTCCTCATTCAGGAACGAATTCCAAATGGAAGCGAGTCGGAGCTGAGGACGAAAATGGCAGAGTGTATTGGGCGAATTCACTGGAGAATGTCTTCAGGTAGCTTAGTATCCGTTAGGAGAGTCTTTCATGGGCTCAGTGATTGTTCTCGCCGAAACTCTCCTGCCGGCTGGGTCACATTGAGGATTGAGGGTCCCACCAGGGCGGGAGGATGAATCGAAACGAACGTAGATGAAAGATTCCAATCGTGTTCTATTCGGGCGAAGCTCTAAGAGCAACGAAGGCCATATGGAGCGTGAATGTCGGCGCCCTCTTTGACTCAGTCAGTCCTCCGCCAAGCGAGGGGGAACTGCCCTCGCGACCGCACCGCTTCAGGAATCGCTAGAGCGTGGCAGATGATTAAAAATTACGGGTTCAAAATTATCTTTGCACAGCCGCCGCTCGTTGAGTCTATCACCATCGATAGCAGCGGCAACAGCATCGAGAAGAGATTCATGCGGAAAAGCGAACTTTTCAAGAGGAAACGATTCAACTTTGAGGTCGGGCACCCGATCGGGCTTGCTCGGAACACGGCTGCCGAGCTCGAACGAGGAGGAATTGGGCGAGGGGAAGCAAGTCAAGTTTTCAGAGGATCTCGAAAGATGCTCGCATATAGGTAGACTTCGCGCTTAGAGAACCTTCCTTTCTACCTGAGTCTCTGACTTTTGAGGATGTCGCGCAGCTATTTTCTCACTCACTACAATTCGCTCTGGAAAAAAGGGGAGATAGAAGGCCTTTCTCTCTTTGCTTTTCTTCCTCGAAGTTTTCCGTGTCCTCCCCTCTGAACTCCCAAATCAGTCTAATCAGGGCTGACTCTTTTCTGACTCCTCTTCGTCTTCATTTGAATTCTGCGCATCCGCTTCGAATAGCCCGATCGGAGCACCGTGCACGTGGTCGAAATCCCGGCTAAGGCGGTGTTGAAGGGCTCGCGTGGGGACGGGATCTCAACGGTCGCTCACCTACCGGAGTTTGGGAGTAATCGACGTGAGTTCCCGACCAGGAATCTGGCTTGCGAGTCCTCATCGTTCACTTCTGCAAGATACCATCGTCTCGTCCCTTCTTGCGAAATCTCGCTCGATCCCGTATCCCGATCCGCCAACGTTCTCCAGGCGCTGCGTTAGTAAGACGCCTAGACCTCCGCAGGAAGGAGCAGTCGGCCGGCGGGGGGAAGGAAGAGACTCCGCCGCAAAACGCGGAAACTCAGCTATGTGGAAAGCTATGATGGCAACCGGCGTATCCGATCGGGCGGCGAGAACACACGATCCAGTAGACGGTTTGACGAGTGCTGAGATCGCACTTTAGCAGTTCTGAAACGGCCGACTGGCGGGTGCCAACCAACACTTGCGTGCTTTTCACTGCCTGGCTGCGTCTAGCCGAGCTCTGCTTCGTCTCTTCCTCCAAACGATGCAGTCTGACTATGCGGGAACAGAGCGAACCTCGGCAAGTCGAATGTTCGAGAGTTCCATCATTCGAATGCGTCCCGATTGTTTCGAGACGAGGAGTACTCAAAAAATCCAGGCAAGTAGTGTCGTAGACACTACTCATCGCGTGAAAACGTTCAAGAACTTCTCTGTTGGCATCAAATGCCTATCGCGGCAAGGAGAGCGTATAAAAATATTTATCGATCCGCTTCGAGATTCTTTTCGATGCTCTTTCGGAATCATTCTGAGAAATCATTCTGAGAAAGGCTTGGTTCGTTTCGATCAACCGTTGGACGAAATCACGATCCTCGATCATTTCACACTTTCTGTGGGTCTCAAACACCGGTACATATTTTGTATGCTATCCCTGACCCGGAGGCGCAGTATTTTCATGGCCATGTACGAGACATGTTGCGTTGAGACTCCGCGTCTATCTGTCCTCCGAATTTCGAACATACACATAGTATATGCTGTTGATCGTACTCTCGCGCCATCACTGGGCGCGATTCTGCGATCGACCCCGTAATAAATTGCAGGGAAGGACAATTCCTCTGCGTAGGTGTCACACAGAAGCCTTTTTGGCGCTCTATGCTGACCAGGAGCAATGTCTAAACGGTGATCCTCATTCCTGATCATTGTGTGCTGTAGCGCGCTTCGCATCGCCGAATCCGACTCCGTACTCGAATCAATAATCTCTATGCCGTCATCGGAGGCGTCCACAGCCTCCTCACTAGGAAGAGAATTCGTTGCTCCTTCGAAATCGATGGTTATGCCGTAATGTGTTTGCATAAGAGCTGATCTACAAGAAATTCGAGCCAAGCTTTGACAACAGACTTCTTCACGAATACACTCAGATACGAAGACTTGTGTATGATATTTTTCTTTCGATTTACCTTGAAGGCAAAGTCATCACCGAGAGACCGTGGCAGGAATTGTACCATGGTTTCAAGGTCGACGGGTACGTTGATAACTTGACCGACGATACCATAACAGCCATCGCGGCGCAGGCGTCGAATCTGCATGTAAGGGATGCGCGGGGGGACAAGACGTTCGGTTAAGGGATCTAATTTTGGTAAATGTGTCGGCTTCGGCGGATACCTGAACCATTACTCTTGCTCATTGGTGGGATCTTACATGTTTTACAAACGTTTGAAACAATTGTTACACAGTTTGGAAACGCTAGTGTCCTCATCGGTGAAAGTATCACTAAGGAAATTCGCCATCCTGTAACTTACCGATTTCAGATCCCCCATGAACCAGAGTCGATCACATACATCACCCGCATGTCCGAACTCATTTTCAAGAAACATCTTGAAACGGTCGCTGGCACGTCTCCAGGCGCTCGCGTAACCCGCACCCCTGTGTGTTCTATCAACTACGTCGGAGCTCGTAAGAAGCCCTTCGGGGGCGCGCTCGCTTTGGGTGGAGAGCCCCGGTCGAATAGTCTACGGGAATCTCAGCAACATCGCGGTTTTCTACGGCACCTCGAAGACGAGCTCGTCGTGCCCGCGATCGTTCTGTAAATGTTCTCGGCCGTTTCGCGGTACGGTCTGGATCGGTCCCCCTCTTGAGAGCTTCCCGCTTCCGCGCCTGGACGCTGCGGGTCTTTGGTCTCATGATCAAATCGATGACCTCAAAAAGTTAGAGATCCAAGGAACCTCGAGATGACACTTCGTTGTAGTCAATAATCTCGACTGAGCTTTCGGTTCCTTCGACGATCGTTCTTTGAGTCAGATTTTTCACCTCGTCGGACGACTTCGCTCAATTAGCGTGAACGCCCTCGGTAGATGACATTCTGAGCAACCACTATACGGCTCGTTGACACGAAATATCTCATCGTTCGTCTTAAAATAGTCTATTCATGCTTGAATCTTGAACTTTTCGAGGGTATGCAGGAATCGGCGTCGGAAACCCCTTAGCTAATTGTGAGCGCCTGTGGAAAGTCGATCTGAAAGATCTCCCGTAAATTCCCAATCTTTCCTTAGTCGGCCGGTGCAGCGGCGCCGCGTATCAACGGGGTTCTAGCGCCGCAAAAAGCCAGGAGATTTCGTTGCATGGAGGACGAAGTTTATTCGTCTGGCTACCCAAGCGATTTTAAAGACGTTTTCACGTCAAAATTCCTCAAGGGAAACCTCGAGCCGGGTCTCACGATGGAAGTTCCCTCAAATCTACCTAGAGAATCCTAGCGAATTGAATCATCATGATATGTATAACATGGCATTAGGAAGGGGTCCCGACCGGGGATCCCGAGTCGATAGCGAAGTCCTTTCATGAGGGTCGGGATTGATTTATTCTCACTGTCTCCCTGTCTGTGAGAGAGGCGCCGGAATTGTTTCCTCAATCGTACGTTCATTCATCCTCATTCGGTCGCTCGGCTCCGGCCCAAATCAAAGATCGTAATCATGACCGCAAGCGACGATACCCGGGGAGCTTCCGTTATTGCGACCGAGGGTCCATTCAAAGCGTCGATGGAAACGGTGGATTGTCCAACACAAGGAAAGATGCAATTCTCGAGCTCCACTTCCCGTGCTCGTTTCTTCCGAAGGTCACCGTCGTTCACTCCGCTCTTGAAAACATTTCAAAGCTGGGCTCTATCAACGTGAAAATGCTATCATTAGTCAAGGAAGATATTCTTCGGCAGGCCCTCCTCTGAACGTCATGTGTCCGGGGTGAAACATCGCTTGACATGTAAAGGTCTCCGCCTTCCTTCCTCTTTGCCACTTTGAACGATCTGCAAGGTCGTTGGCATCTCCCTTCCGCTCGAACGAGATTCCGCGCATTTCATTTCCGGTCGAACTTGCCAAAACGGCTGACAGGAAGAGAAACACGGTGGCTACCAAGACAATGCGGTAAGAAGGGTCTCACTTATTCATGATTCCATTTCTTGGACTCGTCCTCATCTGAGTTCCCCACACCAAAAGGTATGCCCGTCAACCTACTTGAGAAATTATCCGTGCGACCTGCCTTTCCTGCGTTTCTCGTAGCATTCATGAGCTTAAGTATGTGACGAAAGGTTCTCGAAAAGTGGGCTGATCAATCGGGTTTCCGGCGCAGAACGAAGTACGTCTTCATGCGCACCTGTGTAAGCAGTGTGTCGGAAGTCGGCCCCAGCTTGTGAAGGGAGTGACAATGGTTTGCTTGTTGTAGAACGCCGATGCGCGGGAGGCCTAATGCCAGGAAACAATTGAAATCCATGAAAGCGCCCATCTTGACAATCATCTGCGATGACACTCCCAAAACCAATCAAAGAAATCTGGGAAACAACTGAATTCCTTAAGAGTGGACCCTGAAAATAACACGAGCTCGTGGTAAATACGTCCCCCGGGACTTCCGCCGCGATAGAATGGCGAACACGTCAGCTGAGCAGTGAGTATTAGAGCGGTAGACCGAACCAAAGCGGAGGACTCCCCTGAATACTGCCGGGCCGGATTTATGGTCAGAACATGCTATCTATATCTCTGACTACACGGATGTTGGGTGTCGGGAAACAACTTTGCTGAAATGATCGCCGGAAACTACTGTGGGATTCACGCGGGCTGATCATACTCAGCGGATCGCACATTGTACACGAAGTAAGCGAGAGGCTCGAAATAATCGATATGCAGATAAGTCATTCCGAGGAAAGGCTTCACTTTCTCGCGATGAACTGAAGACAATCAGCACTACACCCCCCATCCCGTGAATTTGGAACCGATTCTTGGGAAACCGAAGGAAAGGCCACCTTCCCTGGCCAGCCTGGTTCTTTCCCCTGGGATTCCTCCGCTGCATCGCGAGTAACGGTCACTTCTAGCAGAATGGAGAGGGCGACTCACGCAGTACTAAGGCTCGGCGGGGTTGACCCGAGAATTCAGTCGACGTCAGGCGTCTCCGCTGATCGCACGGACCAGAGAGCCATCGCCCTCTCGTTTCGGTGCGATCGAGACCAAGAGGCTGCGACTACTCGAAACTATCATTCTCATACTCAACGCGGATTATATTATCGGCGCCAAAAACTTCGAGAGAATGATTAGCTCGCTCCGGGGCGACGGAACGCCCGAGCCCCTGCAACAAGGTCGGGCGAATTTCATCGAAAAAGATATAAAAATACGAGAAACGCATTGACGTTTAGCCGGAGTATAGCGCATGCGCATGGAGCCATTCAGGTGTCCCGCCGGAATATCAGTGCTGATGTTAACGAGGGAGTTGTCGATCCTCAGAGAGCCTCGGAAGATCCTCGAAAAAAAAATTCATGTGATGGCCCGAAGCATGTGCACATCTGGAACCGATAGCGCGCCGATTACGCGGAATTACCCCTTGGTTTGCTGTGGAGGAAATCTTCCCCTTTTCCCCGACCAGAATAGCTATTTTACCCGAATTATGCATATATAAGAATGTGCATGTATCAGGTAGACACTACGTCTTTGTACTCGCGATCCGATATTTCTCGTTCGGAACCCAATGTCCCAAGGAGCCAACGTCATTCCTGCGTCCTCTCATACTTGACCGAAAGGGATCCAGACTCCACGACACAATTATGACCCTTGATGGAATAATTGTCACCTATCATCAATGTTTTCAGGGACCAATCTCCACGATTGCGGAATGAAACGTTGTCGACAATCGATTCGAGAATAGATCGACTGGTACTTGTGGTCAAGAATCTCGGGTGTGCCAATTTTCCTTTCGGGGAAAGCATGAGTGTGGAATGATGACGCGCCTCCTCGCGGCCCGTACTTCAGTTTTAAGACCGAAAATTTTCGGAGGGGCCATGACCCCCTCGGCCCCCTTGATATGGGTGCGGTGCTGATTAAGAATGGTGTGCTTGTCATCAGCCAGCTTTGCTGGACTTTTTTGTGCGGAATGAGCCCTTTTCGCCTGCTCCCCAACGACTGGCGAGTGCAACGATGGGAGAATGCGTCAGATCTTTTTCAGGCGCTAATTGATTCTCACTTATTCCGTCTAAAAAGGCGACTGCTGTGGCTCGCGGAAAAAGAATCGTGTAGCAACCATCAAAACTTTGCGAAGAATAGGAACCGTCGGCGGAAAGCACTCGCGCAACAGGAATCACACAATTAGGAGCTTCAAAAAGAGGCTTTCGTATTCCAAAGACTCATCGGGCTCGACTGAGGGACCTACTGCTGGCGGAGGAGCTTCCACAGGGGCCTCTTCCAGGGCTTCTCGAATTGCTCGGATCTCACACGCCTCTATTCCATAAGCCTGACTCTTCAACGGGGAGCAAAGCTCGCCGCGATCATAGCCCACGCAGGTTCCAGGGAAACAACCACCGTGCCATGTATCCATGGGTAGCATCATCGAGATACGCCCATCTACCGTGACACGACGGTGAGACTTGTGGCGGCTCTGAAAAAGGAAGAAAAAACGGACGTCTGACGCCGCTCTCGTCGGACAATGCAGATGAAACCAGTTGTCAGCATACACGAGTGTCGTTCCTTTATTAACGAGTTGCCCATTCGAGCATTACACGGTAGGTCGCGTACATGCCCTCCTTCGCCGCCGGAGTCCCGCCATTTTCTCTCCGGAGTCTTCATATTCTCGCGAACTGGGTCTTGTTTATCCGTGGATGGCGGTTTCCGATTGCTGCTCTGTCTCGAGATCTGCTTCGATCCGCCACCGGAGGTCTTAATCTTCCCGTCCCTTTACATCTCCGCGTAGTCCCTCGAAAATCCTCAGTAGACCAACCCACGCCCATAGAGAGAGTGCATCTTCGTTTCTCTATCAAATAATCATGGATAATAATGAATCCCTGTGCGGGCTTCACACTCGTCATACTTCTCAAGCTCCATCGACGACAACCCGACTCCTGTACAAAAATATTTCATTAGAGCAGATCTGTTTTTCTGACCGACCAAATTCGACCATCCGCCTCCTCGGAGCCCCATTTCCAGTCCTATCACTAAGCAATCCTCGCTCCGATTGTACACTTTTAGTTTCGAGGCGATAATATATCCTTCGATCTTGAAGCAGCGCTCTCTAGATTTTCTGGAACGGAAGCGAAGAGGTTCGTGAGTCTCCCCCGGTTCCTGATAGTTTCAAAAACTTTGTACCGCTTCCATGGAGCTCTTGCCTAACCCACAAAGCGTCCTGTGAATGCCATTTTCTCTGACCTTGCGAATATCGAGAAGCTGCCCCGGTATCGGACTGCACTTCTTCTCTGTCTCATTCTTCGACCACTGTCGTCCACTAGTCTCAAAGTCAGCCAGTAGCGTGAGTTACCCTATACAAAACGATAGCTACCCATAGATTGAGAATGCAACCCCGAAACGTCGCTCCTCCAACACGTCTCAGAGCCATTGGTTACCTAGGTACAAATATTTCGAAAGGTGTGTGAATCTCGCTCCTTCACAGAAACGCATCGATCTCGATCGACACCGATCGACACATTGTTCCTCTCGCTGCTCCGCGGTATTGTCGGATGATTACGATTGGCACGCCGTCAGGTTTGGCACCGAGCTATTTTCGGATGTTGTCTTCTGATGAGATTAAGGGCTACATTTTGTGAGTTTCTGCGATGTCACTGCTGACATGCGGTGTCGACGGCGTGGGCAGGTAGGTGGGATTGTCGACTCCGGAATCTTCGTCGAGCTGAAAGAAAGTATCGTGAGGATTGAGGCAGTCGGAACGATTCCTAATCTTTATTATTCTCCATGTTTTCCATGGGCCTGGTCGGTTTTGTGTTTGTCTGGCTCCATGGAAGCGGAGGGAGGGAAAACTCAGCGTCGGGTGTCTGAGCTGCGGGTAGATGAGTGGCGACCGTGCGGATGGGTGCGAATTTGTGCGAGAATTGTTGTTTTACTCACTGAGTGGTGTTTGGTTAGCTGTTCGGTGGATTGCGACGCATTCTTGCCATAGCTCTTCGCAACGTTTGCCGTTACGGGCAGGGCGCGGTTGTGTTTGGGTGGGTAGTTGTAAGACCTGCAACGACATCAACGACAAACATGACCGAACTTGTTTCCAGCGGCAGAGCGAAGTTTACGTCCGATTGTTCCAGCAGTAGCGTGCACGGTACATCTACATATAATCTGCTTGGAATAGCACATTGTTTGTTGCATTGTAACTCAGCAAACTCCAACGTCTCTCCTTATTCCCCCGTAAAACCTCCGATGCGCCTCTCCTTCCGTTCCTCCTAGTCCCGATTCATTGAATCGTTCAGCTCCGATCTCTAGGCGCATATCGTTCGTTCGTTTCACGAGACCGAGCGATTCGGTGTTTTCAAGCAAATTTTACAGCATAAAATTCCGAAGGTCTCTCTCTATTTCCTCTTTTCGAACACACCGTCCCGCAAGAGCATTCCTCGCTCGCGAACATTTTCGCGGTAAACAACTGGAGGAAAGCACCATATCTTGTCGCCGAACCGCACAAGAGAGACGTTTTGTAAGGAGAGTCTTTTCAAATGTTCGGAACAACCGACGCAAAGGACGCATTTCGCTCAGCTGCATCGCAACGACGAGCTTGCCGAAAAAGGAACGAATAACGACCAGGGCTGAGGCTGGCTAGCACAGGATACGCTTGCGCTGCTTATGCTCACCGGAAACGGCTTTTGTCCGGCGAAAAATCCACTCGCTGCCTGATAGGGAGATTGTTGGGCCTTTGGGCTGGTGCTCGAGCAGCGGAGAAGTTGCGGGTTCCGCCAGCGGACGGTGTGACGTCTTCGAGCGGCACGAGACATGTATCGAAAGGTTGAACGATACCCGGTCCGAAAGGCGTCATGGGACTCAGGCAGCCCGAGTATTCACTGGCTGTGGGGCTGATCACATGAAAGAAGAAGAAGAATCAGTCAGGAAACATTCGGAAAACGTCGGACATGAGACGCGCTGTGATTCAGATCGCGGGCGCCCTCTCCGAGCTCGACTCCCGCCGAGTCGTTCGGGCGATCTGTGGGTTACAATCAGTCATCTCGATTTCGGAATTTCGGGAACGAGAGTTCGTGAGGGAGATGATTGCGGAAGCCGTTCGGAACGACGAGGGGGTCAAAGAGGACGATTCGTCGCTTCGGATCGAGCGGATTGGAGTGCGTGGCGCGGTGGGCTGGCGTCGGAGCCAATTTAGGAAGCCCCACCTGTGGAAGGATTTTCATTTCGGTTCCGTCGACAACTTAATCCCAAGCTAATAGAATAGCTCCGTTCGTTCGTTCGGTCTTCCCTCCATCCCAAGCAAGCCACCAAGCGACGTCAGTACCCGATAATCTGCTTAGTTTGTGTTCCTCCCGCTCGAGCGAAAGCTGCGCTTGATTCACCGCTCGCTCCACAGGCGGCGGCGATGCCCGATTGTTTGTGGAGTCGTCGCGATTCCAACTCTATCAAATCACCGCGCCGAACGTTGTCGAAACTCACGATGGATGAATTCGATTATTTTTTTGCTCGAAACGTCGCGTCGGCGGAAAGCCATCCTTGTCGAGTTCCGAAACCAAAGAAGATCTTTATTGTCGCTGGAATCATACCTGTAGAGAGTGTGCGCCCGTGGGATACGATTGCTGAAGTCCATGCTTCTGGATCGGGGAGTTTGGGTCTCCAGAATATCGAGGGTCTTTGTTGAGGGCGTACGTCGGCAACATCTGATCGAACAAATAACGCAGGCGATGAATAAGACGATGATCAGAAGAATAATGACAGCGATGAGGATAATTAATTCCTCGCGATACGTTGGGAATCTTCCGGCACGGGTGACCGTCGGCTTGAAGTCCACTTGGTGTTCTCCGCTGTAAGGCACGACTCATCGTTAGAAGTTGATGCCTGACAGGAAACCTTCGTCCTGAGACAAGAGGGCCGGGCATAGACGAGGGCCGAACATTTCAGATAAGGTCACGTTACGACGTCTACTCCATTCCGTACCATAAGTACATTAGCGCTTGAAGTCGCGAAAGAATCCCGTTTGACTTCAAGGAAGGAATCTCAGTAGCCGACCGAAACGAGATTGGGAGAGGGGGACGAGATAGCACGGACGGTAATGGTTCAACTCGACCTCAGTTCTACGAAGTGACTACACTCTATAGCGGGATACAGGGGGCGAGGGCTATCACAGAATTTGCATATTATACACTCATCACGGGGCGCTCGGAACGTATCATCACGCCAGATGAACGACGATTATGAAAATCCTTATTCTTCAGCTTTGGCGTCGTCCTTCCGATGTGCCCACAGAAGCACCTCGCTCAAGCACCAACCAGAGCGTTATGTACGCTCGTGCATGCAGAAGAGGAGTTTTTGCCGCCATGTTCTTCCTCTCTCATGCCTCGACGGCCGAGCGGACCGAAGGGAAAAATACGTTGTTTACCAACCTGTCGTGGAGAGTGAAGCCGGTGATTATCATATGCTCGCCAACGGTTATGTTCTTGACGTGCTCCTCGAGCTTTGCGAGAAGTTTCTTGAAATCTCCATCGGTGGCTGTCACCGTAATGTTCAACGTCAGGAACCTATGTGAATAAGAACGAGGTGAATTTTCTGCTCTGTGCGGTTTTCCCCGCAATCATTCCGCAGCAATGAAACGGATGGAATAGAGTCCCTAATCCTCCTCCCTCGCCATGTATGAACCTACATTTTACAGTTCGCATCCGTCAGATGAACCTCTGTGATGTTTTCCGAGAGTTGCTTGAATGTCTTCTCGACGTCTATGCGCAGACCGGGGCGTTGGTATTGGGGGTATTCACAAGCGAGGTTCTCTAATCTGACCGTGATATTCTGCGGGAAAGGTCTGCTCGGTATTTCTGGCGGTGGCTCTTCGGGAGGATGTTTGATGCTGTCGATGTCGACGTATTTCGGGTTCCGTGGACTCTGCGATGGCTGAACAGTTGGCGCAGACGTGGATTCTTGAGGCGTGACGACGCTCGGAACAGTTTCGGTCCCGGAAGCCTCGGTAGTCTGAACCCGCTTTTCGGCCATTGCGGGGCCTTTGTCCGGCACGGCGGTCGTTCCGGGTGGTTCTGCGGATACGGTTACTGAGGCTGCTTCTGGAGACGGCTGTCGTGCTGCTTCGGTTGTTGGGGTTTCTTGCAGCGTGGTCGTTTCTCGGACGGGCTGAGTCGATGCCGTCGCGGCGAGCGATGCAACAGATGTCGAGTACACGGTCGCCACCTCTGTGTTGGGGGCGATTGTCGATATCTCTGGCGCGAGTGAGCTGCTCCCGCCTTGACTCGCATCTGGAACAGAATTCTCAATCTTGATATTCTCAATTTTCCACGTCGCAGGGCTCGGGAAGTACAAGTCCGTCATCCGTGTTGGTCAATCGAAAAGCCATCGGATGCTCCTGAGGATAGCAGGCAACGACCTGAACCGCGATAGAATGAATCGAATGCTCGGTGTGCCTATTGACATCGATTAGAATCACTCAGAAATTAAGAGAATGCTGACGCCGGAATTCGGGCATTCATTCAGGAGCTCGTCTTGGACAGCTGCGTACGAGACTCCTTGATCGTGTTCTCTTCGATTCAGGATCGCGATGATCGTCGGAAAGAGATTCCTCAGTCAGGGAGAATATTTCTGTGGAAGACTCAAGCCGATCCAACCGAGATGAATCAATCGGGAGGCCAGGCCTCAAGCTGCAAGGGCGCCAGCGCTAGCGGGAAGTTGCGGTTGTCGCAGTCGGTGGTGAGACGCGGTAGGGAGTCGACCGCATGGACGGCGCCGGAGTCGCGTCCTTATCCTCCGATCTCCTGAACTTTCCCGCCACCGGTACTGTCTGACACACTGTTGACAAACGGGGGAGAGGCGAAGACATTGAGTGCGATCAAATTAGACGGAGAGACATCGACGGACAGGAGGGCGAGAACGAGCCAGGTGTTGAGCAACAGAAGCAACCGATTCGCGTACGAACAACAGCTTGGACCTAACCATGTTGTCATGGCTCGCAAAGTGCTCACGGGGTGGTCTCATCCGCTCGCCCTTAGGTCTCAGCCCCCTACGCTCGACATCCCGCGATGTTCCCCGCAGGACCCCCAAGTCCCTTGTTCTCGCGCCCTCCGAACGTTCCATTCTCTCACGCCCTCGCAGAAAGCTTTCGGTCGTTACGTGACAATGAAGTTTCTGCTGCTAGCGCAGCCTCGAAATAAAAGTCTCGTTTGCATTGACACCAAGCAATGCGGTCACCGCCCGGACAGGCCGCGTGTCCTTCGCGGGGAAGTCTTTTGCGGCCACGAACGGGAGGGATCCGGCGCTTGTGTGTCCGCACTGCTCCTCCTCGTAGTCCTCGTGTGACGTGGGCGGCCGTCCAGCGCATCAGATGCTGGTCACGGACAATTTCTCGTGCGTGTCTTCTTCCCGCGATACTTTTCCCTTCGCTCTGAGCGAAGGCAATCCCCTCAAATGGACATGAGCCGCCTTATTTTTCCCGTTCACAATTCTATACTGAGAGAAGCGAGAAGATACGGTGATGGAGGAGGATCCCATTGGAAATTCAGAAGGGAGATAACCAGGCGAGGAAATTTAGGGAGTCGATCGTTGGAGAAAGTTAGAGCTCGCCAGAGAGGCGGGGTGAGCCTCAGACACGGGAGCATCCAACGGGAATCTCTTTCCTGGAGCTCACCGACCAATCGACTAGAGCGGGCGAGTGAGCGGTAGAGACAACAATTCAACAATAGACTTCCCTGTGGCTGTTCTGCCGAACTGGTATTTCTGGTCGCGTCCGGGGCAAGAAATTTTGGAGAGAGGAAGCTCCAATATTGGAACCGACGTCTCAAACAGGGAGGAGAAGCGAGCTCATTTTTTCCGCGTGTTCATTGCTGCCCGGGATTAGAGAGAATGTTTTCGATGGAGACATATATGTTTCGCCCAAACAGGGTTTCTCACGCTTCCTCGCTATCTTCGTTTTCCTCTTCACAGATGGAGAGGCAGACCGTTCCAAGGCTTTGAATTCATCGGCGGGCTTCGAGCCTGGTCGCGAGGTCGCCTCACTTGCGTGCAGGCTCAGTCTAATTATTGACTGATGCTGACGCCGCGCAGCTCCGATGATCGATCGGGAAGCGATATAAGTAACCACGAAGTCACTAGGCGGCTGATGGGCTATTGGATAATAATATATCATCAGGTTAATGAGTGTCGGACCCATTCAAATGTTCCACACACGAGAACCATGGGAATAGCTACCGGTCGAATACGGTGAATGAATTTGTTCCAGCAATCTGGATCGGAGCACGTGTGTCTTCAATGAGAACGGACACTTAGCCGCTAGATCCTCCCGCAATTATTCGACTGTCTCACGAATTCGAGGGAAAGTAATTCGTATTCATTGATGCTGGCGCACCGTCGATATGGGAAGCAGAAATCAGCAGGACCTCTTCACCGGTGGGTCGACGAGATCCGCGGAAACCTAACTTTGTCGTTTCTGATCCACCTTCAGAGCCCTCCAAACGAGGGAATTCCCCACGGAGTCGTCGCGGTGAGGGGAATACCGGTGATTCTTCAGAGACTTCTCATTTCTCCTGCCATCAAATCCAGGCAGAGAAGATTCACTCCTGGAGACGGTGGAGAGGCATCGATTGTGATTTAATGAAGAGTATTACGCACATCACAGTGGCTATATATCGGCAGCGAATGAGAAAAAAAGGAGGGGAATTTCGCGCGGGAGAAAACCTGGCGCTCGAACAAGGAGGGGATGGTTGGCGATGAGACCTCGGGATCGGCTGACGTTATGAAGGCACAGTGCAAAGCTTTAATTAAAATTCACAGCTCTTGCCTCCGGTTCGATCACCGTTAAAATCGGCGGGGAGCCCTCAGCTGCGCTTTCCTCATCTATCGCACGGAGCGCAAGCGGAGGAACTCCTTGAACTTCAACGCTCGTCTTCTGACCCGACTCCGTATATCAGCCCCATGGTCTAGGTACGTCAGTATCACGTCAGTATCAGGATACCTGAGGTCATCTCGTTAGCTCTCAGCTTGCCCGACAGGCCTGTCAGACTAGGAGAGGAGGAGGAACGTGTCCGTGGGTCTGATTGTTCATCAGACTCGTAGCTTCGCCACCCGAGCTTCGAATAAAAACAGGCTAGGCATGGAACGCAATCACCTCGGGGGAATCCCTATTCGGAGCTCGGGTCCTGGGACGTCGAGGGTGCGCGATGCTGGCACAGGCAAGGCGCGAACGTCGGGCAGTCCCCTTATGGGGGCGTCAAGCGATGTTAGATACATATTGAGCAGCAGAGCAGCAGAGAAGAATTCTCCCGAACGATAATGACTTCGTAGTTTCAATCGAGTATCGGATCAAGTTCGGAGACCTCTGTGCTATGGACAAGTCTGAATGCTCATCGGGAAAAGTCCGACAGAAATTCTGCGATGTCTCCCCGGGCGATAGGTCGCTCCTTTGTGACATCAATGCCATCCCTGAGATGACTTTCCCCACAATTCTGGCTCAATTTCAATCGGCACATCATTCGTCGCTGAAGAAGGTCCTAGAACCAGGGCGTCCACAAAGCTCGACGGACTGTGTGGAGCTCCCGGTTTGTGAGCATTGATCTCGGATGCCTCCGATAGTATCTCCTCCGCCCTCTATGACCAGATATCAGTCAGTCACCCCTTAGAAGGCTCCACATACTAGATGAAGTCACTCAGTTTAGAATTTATTATCGAATTGAAACTCGCTTCATTCGAAGAGGACAATTATTATGTCTGTTGGACAACGAACGGCGAGTTCGTATGAATGTTTCCGAGTTGTGGGCAAGGTCGCCTCGACTCACCTTGAGCTCTAGCCAAGGCCACGCAGGCCAGCAGAATGTGGAGCAGATACATCCGGTGGGATTCAGCGTAGCATCTGCAAACGAAAAAACTACATGAGTCGGCGCAACTGTAGGTGTGGCAGAGACGCACTGTGAATCTGGCGTTCTCCGAGCGCGGATCCCCACGCAATTTATCATCGGCCCGATTTCCGACCGACCCTGCCTAGTCGGCCACTATCAGAGGAGTTCCCCGGTGGAAATCTGTTAGAAATGAAGTCGCGTGACCGATATTTGTGTGAGATCAACCCGAAGTATTCAGCTTTCTTCCAGCTGACACCTTTGATCTCGGGGCCCGTTCCCTGTCGTGGAGTCTCCCCCGGGGCCCGACAAGTTTGTTATCAGTCTTGGAAAGGCGCTGCATTCTCTCAATCATACTTTATCACTGTCCTCCCGCTGGTCTTATCCCAAAGCTGCTGCTGCTGCTCTTTCTACGAACTGTAAGACGGCAGTTTCTCATAGAGGAATCTCCTGCCATTAGGATAATAGATGAAGAAGATAAGCGCCAGCGGCAGCTAAAGAGATGAGAAGACCAACTACCTGCGTTCGTTGCCGACAGACCTAGGAATGGGTCACGTGATTTGAAGAACGATGATGGAAATGAACGGAATGATGAAGATCAAATCGACCGCTCCCCAGCTCAAGACGAAGTCGACGATGCGAGGCCGGAGGTCGTCCTCAGCCGAGCGGGGATCAGCGTGAGCCAGTGGCGGCGGTAGACTGCATATATTAGGCAGGCTCGAACGTTCGCGATAGCGCCCGCCACGGCAACCACTCAGCCCTGACAAAGATGTGCGGGAGGGATCGCGATTTCCTCCCGCCGCCCCCCACTGCGCGCAGCGCTCACCCGCTGAAGAGAACCCGGGTCGCGTTTCCCATCGTTGCGATGTTGAAGTCACTGCACTTGACCGCAGTCGAGCCGCAGCATTCCAGCGAGCGGAGCAACGATCGCATCGCTCTGCTCGACTACGATGAAGAATCACCGATGTCGTCGAGGGACTTCATCACACAACGTCTCGGAAGAAATAGAGGGTCTCGGCTTGTTCCCAGTCAGACACAGCTCAAGTCTAGCCAACGGCAATCCGACACGACATTCTAGGACCTCACCGGAAACGTAAAGAATGCATCCACATCGACATTGAACGAGGCGAATCAACGGGGTCCGAGTCTAGCTCCTCGATTCGAGAGCGGGATCATTTTGGACCGCCCCGGCGAATCGGAAAATCTCCTGATAACTCCCGATTCTTCGATAGATCTCCTTTCGCTGATAAGCGCCACGCGCGCTCGTGGGAGAATTACTATTGTCATTGTCGATCTGGGTTTGGTCGGAGCTGGTTGTCGCATCATCATCATCACGATCCAGAGAAGAATTCCCCACGCAGATATTCGTCGCGGAGAGACGCTTCGCTGGAACCGACCGTCGAGTTCGCCGCGGAGTACTTCCACGATTATCTACAATGTATTGGAATTGATCGGCTCTTCGCTTTTCGTTTTTCCAGGCTCCCGCAAATCCTCGAGCTTCCGCTGTGCAATAGCAGAAATATCCATCCGTCGAGATGCTCAACACGACCGCATAACGACGTTTGCGGCCATGATGAGTGATTACAGGCCTCGTTTCATTCGGGCGCTCGCGACCCCACAGGCCTACGAATTGTCGTAGTCGGCGGACATCTCCGAAACAACGCCCGGAGCTCGCAAAGTAATTTGGATGCAATTTATCTTAACCTCAGCATAATATGGCTTGCGGTGGGTTCCCGTCCGAGCGGTCACGACAAACGACAAGGGAGGCAGGCAAGAACGATGAAACGGGGATCAGTCTGCCATTCGGGAGTTACGCGAGGAGCCGTCTTCGTGTCAGAGCCCCTAAGTGGAGGGTACCTCAGGCAAAAACAGTCCAACGGAAGTGGGACCGTGTTGCGCCACCGCGATAAAAACATTCGTTCCGGTGTGTGAGGCGTTCATTCACTCGATCGGAGGATTTTTCTCACAGCGAGAGTGATTTTGTGGACACTTCAGAGTATCCCGAGGGATTTTCGTCGTTTTTCGAAAAACTTCCCTCGAACTCTTGTTCCAGTAAAGCGTTCCTCCACTCGTTGTTTCTCGTAGCGCTGAAGGTCCCGAGTCCGTGAGTGAAGCAAGCTCGTAGCCGCCAGCAGGGTCCCTCGCGCGGTCTGGTCGGCATTCTTTCCGTCGTGCAATAGCGGATTCTTCCCTGACATGAAAGAAAATAGAGACAACAAGGTCGAAGAGCGACCGTGTGTGCGACGAATCGGCAAGGGAGGGTCTGGTCCACGGAATTCTTGGAATGACACTCCGCTTTTGGCTGTCACCAGCCCCCTTCTCGGTAGTTCTTTTCCCGGGAATCGTCGGGAATTCACTTATTGTGATCAACGAGGGTCTTGGCAATCTTTCAGCGGTAGTTTCGCTCGATCGAGCGAGATCACGCCACGATCCAAACGCGTCGTCTTCACAGCGATCGCGGGTCATGATTCGCGAGACAATGAAATACTCTTCCCGGAAAAGGTCTCTCCATCTGATGGAAAGACTGAATGCCGCAGTATCTCCCGCGGTCGGGGGATCTCGGCCACAAACGAGTCTAACGGAGCAGGATTTACGGACTCGTTGAGCTCTCCGCGGCAGCTCTCCCTCAATCCATTCCTCGCGAGTATTGTGATTAGTATTCCGCGCCGCACAATCCTCGACATTGTTTGCCCTCGTGGCGTCTCGCGGAGCGTGGCCGGGCTCAGCAAAACGGTATTTGGCCACATAACATTCGTTTATTGCTTCTAAGCCCTGCAATTAAGGACATCGAGCGAGCGGCGGGCTCAGTGTTGGCATCCAACTGGCAACTCATAGCTCCAGGCGAAACCACGACGACGGGTCAATACGATGAGCCGCAGCCGAACGAGTGACAGCGCATATTAGTGGTGACCGCTCCACGAACCATCTGACTATTTTCCGGCTCAGACCTCCCAAGGACCTGGTCCGGGTTTCTCGGTCTATCCTTCCGGCCGGAAGGTCGTAGGGTTGGAATTCCATCGAACCTACGCTTCGATCCAGTATCTCATGTTCTCCGGAGTCGTTTTGTGGTGCTCCATCCAGAAGAATTTTTCTACACAATGCTCGGGCTCGAGAAGTTTCCCAAATGACCATGATAAGCGATTTTCGCCTGCTGTCGGCGATGCTTCTCCTCCGGCTGTGAGCGAACGGAGACATGTGGCGGCCGCTCATAAAGAAGGAAGGAAATAAGAGAACGACTCGTTATTAAGATAGTCCCGCTGTGAAATTTTCACTCAACGCCACTCTGTTAACACCACTGGTAGACGTTGCGGTGCTGGTAGTGGTCTAGCTGCCGTTTCCCCCTTCCTCAGCAGCAAGCCTGTCACTCCCCAAGCCCACTGGCGCGCTTTTGCCTTCATTTCATTATGAGCACAGAAGAAACTACGCTGCTAAGACGCAGCCGAAACGATTCCAGCTGAGCTCCTGCGTCGAGCTTTTCCAGCAGAACCCCGTCGGTCTCGGTCTCCGTTCACAAACCTCCAAGCACGTCTGTTGGAGGGATTGAGACGTTCATAGCAATTTTTGTGTTCGGGGTAAATTCTTCTCTCGTCGACTCCACTCAGGATCAAACGAGCGGTTTCGAAGATATGACTCCGAGCTGAGGCCAGGGTTCGTCGGGGAGTTACACAGGCTCTCGCATCGAGGGCGGGGGACCGACAGTCTACGGCCGGCGCGGCGTCCACGATACATATACGGCAGTATTCCGTTGTTGGAGGAGTCTGTTAGTTCGATCCGCGTTCGGGATCCGTGGCTGAGAAGAGAGCCCGCATTACCGCTCCCGTGTCCGTCCAGACGTAGTATGGGCACGAATGGCATCCGTCGCCATACAGAATCGTTCCAAAAGGCAAGCCGAGGGCGGGAGCGTACAGATTAGGTCTTTGTGAGGAACGTTTTCTGTTCCCGGCCGGGGAACATCTCAGTGTTGTGTCGGAGCTCATGCGTCCCTCGTTACTTGCTCGTGCTTTCCGCCTGCCCGGAGAACGACTGAATGGCAAACAATGCCGTACGTTCGGTATCCGCTGCCGCTGCCGTAGCGGCCGACGAGAAAAAGAAAAGAAAAAGTCCATTTAGTCGAGAATACAAGTAGCAGTCAGCAAACTCCACGACCAACAACAAACCAGTTAGCGAGACCGGGTCGGGTCCGCCCGCTGGGACTCGAGGCTAGCTCGAGAGTAAATACCTCCTGTATTCGAAGCACGTCCTCTATGGGAACACGTTTGTTCCCCGATAGTATTTCTCACGCCTCGCCTACAAAGGTCATCGAGGAGTCTATTTTCCACGCTTGGCCGACCTTATGAGAAGCGATCTTTCAGGCGTGCATCCCCGGAGAAAACGTCGAGAAATAAACCGGAAGAAGAGACTCGTCGAACGAGAGGAAATCTCGCGTAGTCAACAGTCACAGCGTCTCTTCCGGCCGCGTCTAACAACTGGTAGTGATCTAATGGGCAGAGTTCGCCTAATTCGTTCGCTCGGCCGATCGTTCGTTCGTCCGAACAGTCGAGGCAGCAACGAAATCGGAATTAGCAACAGAGACTCAAGCGGGCACGTCCCTAACTGCCTGGGAGATCGGCAGAGCGCGCGAGTCGATTGAAGGCTTTTAGACTCAGACGAAATCCATTCTGGAGCTTTCGGGGCTAAAGTTGGACGCAGCGCTCGTTGAAATAGTGAATGGCAGTCGACAACGGAACCGCTAACGATGAGTCGGCGAGAAAAACGAAGAGATGCGTCTAAACGGACACACACTTGGCTGGACAGCTTCCTTTTTCACTTCCATCTTTTGTTCTGTATGGGTCAGAGTTTCTCCTTGAGAACTTTTTTCGCTGCTGCCTCCATGTATGCGTCTCCATCGGGAGAGCTTGTTGTACTTGTAAAGCAGACAATCGGGACGACTCGGAGCAGTTTTCTGCTGTTTCATCTGTGCAGTCGTTCGTCATGCTCGTGTCTGATGTGAGGGAC